TAAGAAATAAGAGTAGAGTGTCTACAGTACACTTTACATTAAAGTAGTAGATCTTTATAAAAAAGTGTAAGAAACGAACAGTCCACCTGACGGTATTCACTTAATTTATTGATCATAGATGTTAATATCAAAGGACTAAAGCCTCTTACTATCAGGTGAACACTGAGCTACTTCGTCAACCTGGTTTATTAGAAAAAAAAAAGTTATAATTTATATACATCCCACTTCTAGGCTACTCTCCTTCTTCTGATTAGACGAGTACGGTAGCCATTCTTTTCTGCCGACTTCCAAAAAGGAGACGGTACTCAATTCGATTGTAGTTTTTTGTTTTTTTATGTGTGTTACCTCATAACTTTTCACTGGGTGAACCGATTTCGATAATTCTTTTTTTATATAAAAGCTGATACATCTTGTGTGGTCCCATATGAATTTGATCAAGGTCAGACCAATAGTTTTTGAGTTATTCTTAATATTTTATATTGAAGTCGGCTGTACAAAATTTTTAATTTGAAATTATGAGCGAAAAAATATCTCTACAACTATTGAATACTAAGAAGAGATAGTTCGCTAATATTTAGTTTTAAGTCATAAGCGTCCCCTTTCGCCGTGACATGAGCTGCGGAGTGGTGCTCGGTGTTGCCATAACAACGACTATATATTATGTAATCACACTGCAGCTATATTATGGTTGTGGCACTAATGGGTCAGCTTGACCGGGGACCAAGTTCTCACAGAACACCGGCGTAAAATAGCAGCTTAATGCTGCTGTGTTTCGTATGGTGAGTGTAGAGAACTTGAGACCATTTTTTACTGGAAACGAGGCATTCCATCTTAGTGCTCAGGCGTGACAACGCATCTGAATTTTGATTCTTAATCGAGTATAAATGTAGATGTCCATGGGTCACTGCATCCACTTACCATCAGGTGGTCTGTGTACTCGTTTGTCACCATTATTCTATATAAAAAAGTCTCGAACTTCAACATTGATTCCAGTCTGTGGTCTATGGTCTAGTTATTTTAGATCTGGCATATTATACCGCCTTCAATCGAACAATGAAATGCACACTCTCTGCTGACGGTCATTTATATATTTAAATGACGACTTTTTAAAAACAAAATTTTATTCTAAGAAAATACCAGTATGTGGTAGTAAAAAGAATTTAATTCTATTTATGATTTGCATTGTATAAATATTTAAATTATAAAACACAAACGTTACGCGTAGGAATTATGTAAATTTTTATAAAGAAAGTTTACATAAATTGTCTAGCTTCGCTCGTGCGCTAACTGGATTTCTGTCACAAAACTTTAGACTCTAGAGATTTGTGATTTTTTTAACTGTTTTTGAATTAATAACTCATTTGTCATTAGTCTGGCGAAACTATTAATATGCTAATTAATCATCATTTTCACAATTAATATTTGAATGTTTTTTTTTCAATATGCATAAATTTGCAATGAGGCGGTCCTTCACCCTCGTGCCTCGGAAAGCACTAAAGCCGTTAATCCTGCAAGTTATCTCGTCACAAGTTGTGCCAAATTTTATTTTATTTATTTATCTATTTAATATTTGTTGCACAAAATGTACAAAGGCAGACATAACGCCTTAAGGCGTTCTCTACCAGTCAACCTATAAATTGCTGTTCTCTTGGACTATTAGAAAGAGAGAGAAAGAGAGAGAGAGAGAGAGAACATAGAGTGTGCTTGTACATGCGCACACACTTGTGCACTATAATCCTCTTCTGCGCAACAAATGTTAGTCTCCATTGAGATTGGCTGCCGTGACTGAAATTAGGTCTCACATTATATTACATTTAACACATTTACACGGGGTAGAGCCATGCTGCAGCTATATTAGTAGTATAGTTGTAGCACGAATGGGTCGGCACGACCAGCTTAACACTGCTGTGTTTCGTATGGTGAGTGTAGAGAACTTTTCACTGGAAAAGAGGCATTCCATCTTAGTCCTCGCGGGTGACAACGCATTTGCATTTTGATTCGCAAACGAAGATAGATGTAGATGTCTATGGGCCACAGCAACCACTTACCATCAGGTGGACTGTGTGCTCGTTCGTCATTTTCCTATACTATAAAAAAAAACATTAAAATTTGCTATGCAATTTAGAATCGTAGTAGCTCAGAACCAAGTACCCTCTATCGGTTTCATAATAGGGGTACAACCTGGGTTTGATCCCTGCCTCACAAACCTACTTACGCAGAGAGGTGTGAATGGAAGTATCTGTAAAGTGATGTAAATAAGAGTATAGGTTGAAGTTGTGATTATGAAGCCTTTAGTATGACGGTTAAGAGTACTCGTATCATGCGAGCGTAGTAGCGGATACTCGCTATTTTATTATTATAATTTCGTATAAGATAACAGCTACTTTTAATACAGATAATCGCGAAACAAGTCAGGAAATTTGCATCCTTTGTTAAATATAATAAACTAGTTGTTTTTAAAAAACAACCTTCATTCGTTCCGGTTTTATCAATTAGCCAATTTAAAGCATATTATAAGAAATTATTCAATTAAATACAATACCACACCCACCCTCATTAAAACGAGTTTGCAAATACTATTTAATTTAAAGTTGTATGATTGTTTCGGTTCTAAATGTTTGTCCATGGATTTTTGTCATTACAGGTATATGTGCAACATCTCCATAATACATAAAAAAATTTCAGTGGTTTGAAAAAAAACTTAAGAAAAAAAATACAGGCTGTGAGCAATTTTATCTTAGCACGCAAAGATGAAAATATATCTCTAGCCGTCTGTATTCTAAGTCGATTCCAATTGTTCATGATCTGCCATGCCAGTTACACCAGGAAGGCTAACAGCTCTAACGTGAATAAAATTGTTTAAGGACCCGGACGCACCAAGCAATAGCGTTAGTCCCTAAAAAAAAGATATTGCCACTTTGTATTTTATGATTATAAAAAAGGTGTCGTAAATAATACTCGCAGTTTTCTTCCAGTGAAAATATAATAAATAGTGATTTGCAAGAAAGTTCTCTTTCAGTATTTTCTTCGAAATAGAAAAGAATAACGGTATTAATTTTGTAGCTGTCGGCCCAACTTTCCGTTGAACACTTGCAAAATTAACAGTTTCTGACGTATGTATCTATTACAGCAGGACCTTTTTTGTCTTTTGTTTTTACGCAAATGTAAGGATGATTCTGCTACATCGATGCAAAATTACTTTTCACTTCATAAGGAAAATATATTTGTATAGTAAAAACTATATTTTAATTGCTTTGAATTCAACCTTCAAGCATAGTATTGCAAAAGCCTTAGAAATAAAGAAATGCCTCGTTTATATCTTAAACGTAGATACGGACAAAATTTAAATCTTACTTTTATACTTTGATTGACAAGCTAAGATTTGAATGGTGAGACAGTCAGTATAAGTTTAGGCTGTGGGGCATCTGATTTTAGTTCTCAGAGGTTATAAACACACAGGTTTTTTAATTGAAAGTCAACTAGGTGGTGTGCAGTGTCGATGATTTTAAGATTCGCTATAGATTTAGACAAATAGACAAATACGGGCAAAGGGTATATAAATAACTATGTATAGATTATTATTATATATCGCTACGTTTAAACACGGTTTATGAATACTCATTTTCATACCTGCAATTTTTGGTCATAACCTCGGGTTTCGACTATTTGAAGTTTGTTTATACGTCGGTCAACTTGACTGAAATCGTATCAGAACGTTAAGCAATCACAGCGCCCATTTCATTGCTGTGCGTACGCACAACAAAGACTCCTTTGGGTATTGTTCGTGAAGTGAATATCTTGCCATTCTAAACGCACGTAGAAACATTAGCGTTGCTCCTATACCACCTATATACAGGGTGGAAAAATTGAGTTTAATTAATGAGCCTGTAGTTGATTAATTGACCTGCAAGATGCAGTGCAGTTTTAAGAAAATGATAGGAGGTTTTTAGACTTTTAAAAATAAACAATCTAGATCAGGATGTTAGCACAGGCTAAAAATAAAGTAAGACTGTGATGTTAGTATGACTCTATGTACGAATTGTTAGATATCATGGTCTTTTATAATTTTAAGATACAATGTTTATTCGAGAGATTTTATCCTTATCGTAGACCTCAAAGAATCGAACCCTTATGGATTCGTCATGTCTGTCTGTCTGTCTGTCCGTCCGTATGTCACAGCCACTTGTTTCCGAACTATAAGAACTACGCTATTGAAACTTTGTAAGTAGATGTATTCTGTGAACCGCATTAAGATTTTCACACAAAATAGAAAAAAAATTTTTGAGGGTTCCCTATACTTAGAACTGAAACTCAAAAATTTTTTTTCATTAAACCCATACGGGTGGCGTATCTATGGATAGGTCTTCAAAAATGATATTGAGGTTTCTTATAACATTTTTTTCTAAACTGAATAGTTTGCGCAAGAGATACTTCCAAAGTAGTAGAATGTGTGACCCCTACTGTAACTTCTAAAATAAGAGAATGATAAAACTAAAAAAAAAATACATAATGTACATTACCATGTAAACTTCCACCAAAAATTGGTTTAGACGAGATCTAGTAAGTACTTTTTTTTAATATGTCATAAATCGTAGATTATGTTACTTGCTGCTACGGGACCCTTCATGGGCGAGTCCGACTCGCATTTGTATTAGTTATTTATACTATACCTTATCTTTGTATATATATATATATATATATATATATATATATATATATATATATATATATATATATATATATATATAAATAATGTTTACCTATATATTATGAAGTAATGTTTATAAATACGGGTGTGCTATGCTTGTTAGAGATATTCACAAATTTCAAACTTCATTCCATACAATTATTATTGTAACCGCCTGTATTATTTCACAGTATAATTTAGCTACTTCAATATTTTTTCCAAGTCGATAGCATTAATTGCGGCAGTTAATAAGAGTATTATTATCTTATAAAATGTACGCTTGAGTATTATTCAGTGAATAACCAAGTCGAAGATGGGTAGAGTTGTTGTTTGTTTCACTTTAGGTTTGTTTATCAACCTCCAAGTTTCTGGTAATAGATTTCAGTTCGCGTCTTATACATACGAGAACAAAACAGACCCAGCTACTCGACAGCTCTATGAATTTAGAAAAGAACATCCGGTATGTATTGATGCAAATGTCGTATTACAGTAGTAAGACCTATTTTTGATTTTCTCTCTGTGGTTTGTTTGTTTTAATACCATGTTTATATTAACTCAGTTTCGTGAATGTCGAATCGAATTTAGTAATTGATTTTAAACTGACTTCCCAACGAGGTAGAGATTTAAAATTTTAAAGCACAAATCAGAATTCTTATGAACTCGCTTGATAATAGTTATACATATATATTCCTCAGTGATCGCAGTTGAGGCTTAACCTTCACAAATTCCATAATGAAGAGAAGCACAGCTACGACTAAATTTGCTGATGAGGTGATCCCCTTCCAAAATGATTTTGAAGACGAACAGAGCAGTCTTGCGGAGAGAATGAACTTTTAAAATCATAATAAATCATCGCCCTAAAATATTTTCGCGTTATTTCTATTTTGCTACTGATGACAAACTTAAACTTGACAAAAAAAAATGATTTTATATAATATATATGTTTCTTATGTTTAAAAATGTAACATTCGAAATTCAAACATTTATGAGCGACCAGAAACGCACAACTTTCAGTGTGTCCTATGTGTTGTTGATTGTTAGTAAAGCTGTTTTGTGGCCGAAGTTAGGGAATCTATTTACTATATATAATATTAGATAATATTATGTTCTAATTAAATGAATATTTTTACAACCTGTGGGGGTCAGTTTGCAATAAAAAGGGGACATAAAATATCAATCCGCATTACAGCAGACCCAAAACACCCAGATCGGTGACGGGAACAGTATTGAAGGTGTGAAACGTCTGGTAACTGCTTTCGCTAACCCGTCTGGCAAATGTCAAGCGTAGTGAAACTTATCGATAGGTATGTAAAAATGACGAATATTTTTTTGGAATGTCCTTTCCAATATCATCACTATCATCATTTGATAATTTGGCAAAATATTATTGCTGGGCATGGTCTTCTCTCCCATTTAAGTTAAATTTGCCTTAATCACTACTAATATATTAGTTATAGTATACGACTTCGTGTTTTTGTCTCTGTCCTTCTCCTAATTTTGGTTTTAATGGATGGCAAAGCTTAATTTGACCATATTACCCTGAAGTACTTTAGTAGTTTTTGACTTATCTTTAATAATATGTATTTAATGGACTTCGACTACCTTGATGATGTTCTCATTTTATTTATATTGAAGTTAGTTGTACAACATTTTTAATGTTACCACTTGTTCCAAAAAACATTTTATTTAAAATTAAAAATACTTATTTTCGAATACATATTTATAATGTTATCTTAAGTAATAAAATATTTTTCCTTTGAGTATGTAACTATTTGCCCTGTAGCGACGGCGTAAGAGACAACAATTGGCAAATGAAAATAAATAAAAAAGACAACATTTGGCAAATTAAAATAAATAAAAACTACGCTTGGTTCCTCGAGGAACCATGTGACATCAACAGAGTATGGAAATCGGGTATCAAACCAAGAATTCAAAATTCCAATCTAAATCGATTTTTGCTGCGAGATTGATGAAAGCTTCACATTTTCTTCATCTTGTAGTGAAAGTAGTCTTATCGACATACGGCGTGAATGCCTAGAGTTTACTATTTCTGGCAACTAAAAATTTTAAATAAAATTGTACTTTTGTCTTCCTAAAATTGTCATCCTTTCAAATGCGTTCAATACAAATAGGTTCATTTTCATTTGCCCAAAATTCAAGAAGACATAATTGCCGTTCGGTCACGTGTAGTTGCCCCTGTACCTGGTAGTAAACATCACTTTTTTTGTTAATTGTTATGGTGTTAGATTTTTTATCATATTTCAATATTTTTATTTTATTTGCCTCAATTGCATTCATTAGGACTTTTTTGGATTCTGTATTAGGAAACTTTACCTCTAATAGTACGAGTATGTAATCACCAATTAGTCCATCAGGCGTAGCTCCAATAAAAAGATTAGTTTTATCAGTGAACAATCCACAAGGCTCTACGCTACAACACTTTTTATCGTTTTCTTGCGTAGCGGCCATTGTTGGTCTGGAGCGAGTGTCAATATTGCCGACGGTTCTGCGACTTTTAAATTCAGCGCACCAGTTAAGAGTTTCTCCTTTTTGTATACGAGTCAAATTCCCGCCAAATGTAAATGTTGAAAAAAAATTGGGTATATTTTTTTATTTAGATATTTCTGGCCTTGGCTACTTACGAATTGAAGTCCCATTCCAAAAACTTTTTGATCAACCTAGTAAAATAATATGTACATATAGTTTTCGGCCACGAAGATCACATCATATCGAGACTCAGAAGTCATTTTCTCAGTCAACCATAATCGATAGATCGGCTTTCAATGCGGATTAAAGGATCTAGTGTTACAAAGGAATTTTCACTTACATCAGCTTCAAAGTTTTGTTGAATTTGTTCCGTCTCTCTGTAAAAGAAATCACAAAGTCAAACTGACATTTTACACCTTTGCCAACTGACAAAATAATCGATTTTAGACTTAGATTATTGATAAGTCATCGCGCGCTCTGACTAGATGCCGCGCTACCTGAAAGTAACAGCTCCGTGAATGCGGCATCTCAATATTGTAGTGTGTATAAGACAATTTGCAAGATGCTAGTGTGCGTGAAAAATTGCATATAACAGCAGCTTAATTATTACCCGATAACGGGAAAATTTATTTTATGCTATGGCGTAGTAGTTAAGTTTATAGTTGTGACTGTTTTTTTATAGTATAGGATGACAAACGAGCACACAGCCCACCTGATGGTAAATGGTTGCGGTGGCCCATAGACATCTACATCTATCCTCTTTTGCGAGTCAAAATGCAGATGCGTTGTCATCCTGTGAGGACTAAGATGGAATGTATATTTTCCAGTAAAAAGGTCGGGTTCTCTACACTCACCATACGAAACACAGCAGTGTTAAACTGCTATTTTACGCTGGTATTCTGTGAAAGCGTGGTCCTTCCCCGGTCAAGCCGACCCATTCGTGCTACAACTATACTACTAATATATATATATATATATATACCACGTTAAAAATGTAGTCCAGAAATACTTAAAAATGAATAATTTGTTAATAACGAATGTATCAATATTGGTTGTATCAATATTGGGATAATCTGCCGTTATGTAACTAACATATGAAATAAATATTGGTCAAGTTATCTATTTATTAATCTGCGTTTCCATGTCTAGCAATACGGGTCTACGGCGGTGTGATTTAATGAAGATTATCGACTAAAAATATATTCAAAATCAGCGAATTCATCAAAAAGAAATCGATACCCGCGGCGGGAGCGCGACAATAGCTTTGCTACCCGTAAAGAGAAAATCGACACAATAGGAGCTATTACTAAGTTGTATTTGAGTATCCTGGATCGAGACCTGTAATTACGGAATCTCTTTTGATGAAATAAAAAATGAAACTAAATTTTATCTCGCATATTAACTTATTTTAAATTCCCGATGATTCGAGTACTTTATAGCTTTATGGGGGGGGGGGGGGGTGTTTGACGTAGCAATGTGATAGTTAACCACGGCTACCTTCAGTTTAAATTTTTTAATTTTTGGTCCGATCTATTTGAGAATGAGCTTATACTATCTTAAAGTTTTGCAGTTTTATGCTTTGTTTGAGATTTAATTTTATTAATTATAGGATCTAAAGCAGATGGTAGCACCTAGCCATTTTCTCTATTTCAGGATTGATTTCAGTAGCCTCGCGAATTGTCCTTGGAAGTAATCGGTGTTATTTAGCGAGAATTCGTGTTTTGTCAAATCTAATGTAGTGACGGGGGCTATCCTGTACGTATTCACAGACTGCAGGCTTCCGTATCTTCCGTATCGCGAGATCGCGTTGAATTACATTGTCTCTTTAAGATTTTTGACTTGGATGCTACGCACCTAGTAATATCATGAACCGTTAGCGTATTAAATGCTTAGCAATAAAAATTAATGTAAGTTACTTTTCTTGCCAACTTTGGTTTTTGAATATACTTTTCCATCAATTATTCTTCAGAGTCTCGTCCAATAATCGTACCAGATCAAGACAGTCGGTGCTAAGATATAGTGTATAGAAGTTATAAAACTGTCTAAATAGTTACATTAAAATCTTCATCTCTAGTTATTTTTAATAATAAAGAATTAATAAAATCGGTCCACAATTGATGAATATATCAAGTAACATACATACAAAAAAGAACTTACTGTCAAATTGAGATCCTCCTCCTTTTTTCGAAGTCGGCTAAAAATATCAGCATACTCTCATTTGTCACACTCTTGCTGTCAGTTTGCTTCATCTTAATGTATTTAATTACTGATTACAGGAACCAATTGGACTTTTAACGACGAGTTCGGGATACCCAGTAGAAATCAGAGATACGATTACCTTAAACACCGACATTTTCTCTAATACATTTTTCGTTGACTCTATACTACACCTGGACCATGAAAGAGTACCTGAACGAGTGGTACATGCGAAAGGAACTGCAGCTCTTGGATATTTTGAAGTTACCAGTGATGTTTCGAAATATACGAAAGCTGATGTATTTAATGGTATTGGCAAAAAAACTCCTGTGGTAGGAAGATTCTCTAGTGTTGCACAAAATAAAGGAGGCAATGATCTCGCAAGAGAATTCAAGGGTTTATCTGTAAAATTTTATACACAAGAAGGAAACCTTGATTTGCTTTGTTTAAATGTGCCAGTTTTCGTATTAAAAGATCCAGAGTACTTTGTTCATTTTGCCCATGCTTCAAAAAGAAATCCCAGAACAGATTTATTTGATGATACAGCAAAGTTGGACCTTTTGACGTTAAGACCCGAAATGTTACATGGATCTTTGTGGATGTTATCTGATTATGGCATCCCAAATGGCTACAGAAAAATGGACGCATTTGCAATTCATACTTTCGAAGTTAATAACAGACAGGGAGAAAAGTATTTCGTTAGGTTTAATTTTAGAACCGAGCAAGGTATAGAAAATCTGTCTTCCGACGAAGCAATTAAAATAAGCGGAGAAGATCAGGATTATTACAATAGAGATTTATATAATGCCATAGCTATGAAAAATTATCCAATATGGATTTTGGAAATGGACGTTATGACATATGAAGATATACTTAATTTAAATTACGATCCGTTTGATATTACCGTTTTATGGAAAAAAGGGACTTACCAGACAGTTCAAATAGGTCGCCTAATTTTTAATGAAAACCCAGATAATATGTTTAGAATTTCTGAACAAAGTGCATTTAATCCTGGAAACCTGGTTCCTGGTATACCTGGTCCTTTTGATAATGTCTTTAAATCTCGTAGACTTTCCTATCAAGACACTCAGATTCATCGTTTAGGTATCAATCGTAATAGAATAGAGGTTAATTGTCCAATATATAGAAAGGCTTACAATCGTGACGGATATCCACCTGTCAAAGACAATATGAGGGATGCGCCTAACTATTTCCCAAATTCTTTTAGTGGACCGGTGCCGTTTGTGGATGCAAGCCGACCAAAAGAGCGTTTGTGGATAATGGAAAGTAATGCGGTCGATTTAGAGGAAGCTTCGTATTTTTATAATTATGTGCTAGAAAACGATGAACATCGAGATAGGTTGGCAAATAATACTGTCAAATTACTGTTACAAAATCCTCCGTTTATACAAAGAAGATTGATTAATTTATTTTATTTGGTTGATCAACATTTAGGTGAACAAGTATCAAACAAATTGTACAGAGCTCTTAAAACTGATATTACGCGAAACCCAAAAGTACTTAGAATTCCAAGGTTAAGATGTTACTAAATTATTATACATCATGACATAGACGTGAATTCAAGAAAAAATGTGTAACATAATATTTAATTATATTATAATTGTATGAAGCTTTAAATGATTATTATATATACGATTATATGTATATACGTACAAAATTTATCGACGAATAAATTTAATTTATTTAAAAAAATCATAGTTATTAGCACAACCAGAAATTAGTACACCACATTTATTAAAAAAAATACACAAGTGTCTGATAATTAAAGTTTATCACAACATGCATAATTTGACAATTATAATGCAAAGAAAATAATAAATCACTGCTATAAAAAAGAGAACATATTACAAATCTAATATGTTACAAATCAAATACAATATGATAAATCATGATCAGAAAAATGCAGGAAATTAGTGGATGGCTCAAAACTGTGTGTAGGAATCTTTTAGGGGGCCTAAGAGGAAGTTCTACTGATTATGATGATAATGATTAACCATACTAATTTATTTTGGATACTTCTATTTACCTTCTTCTTTATCATCATTATCATCATCCCGACCGCCTTCCACGAGCTGCATTAATCGTCATGCTTGGCAGGCAGAGAGTCACAACGCATCGACAACATTTTTTGTTTGAAAGCGGCTACTACTGCTGGTGGCTAAGTGTACGTGGACTACACTGTCCTCTAAATAGCAAGCTGAGTATATTACCTCTTATATCACTTAAATTTTTCTCTTCTTTCTTATAATCCCATAAAAATTTTTATAGTTTAATCATCTATAAAATATTTTCAACTTATAAAACACTTGTTTAGCGTTACAACGTTACGTTACATATTCATAATTAATCTGTAATCTAACTGCAATTAACACCACTTATCGTTCGTATCATATTGCAAAAACAACAATAATTACAGGAAAACTTAATTTTAATAATTTTAACTTAAAAATTGAGGGACCCGTGATATTTTTTTTTGTTTTAAAGAAAATATTAACAGTCGGTGTGGAAGTGTTTTCGTAAAAATGTTTTTATATAATGCGACATGCTGTCTATTGAATGAAACAGTCAATTCTACCATATTATGATAGTAATTACGAGGGGAGCAGCGGAAGAGTCCAAAAACCAATTTTCTAATAATATATTATTTATAAGAATATTTGTATATTTAAAAGTTACAACATTGATCTTATATTACTTTTTGCTAATGTTCTTGTAATTATATAGGGAATGTCCTAACATCCAGATGTTAGGTGACAAAAGACCTCTTATGAACTCGGCGATCAGTTTCTATGAATCGATGATTCGAAAATCGAATGATGATGTATGTGTGATAGTCGTTGTATCTAAGGGCAACTCCGGATATACTTGTGACAGGGTATGAGCGCGTTCATATGGAAGTGATTACATGTGTTTTTTTTTTGATACTCATACAAGTTGCTAACCGTCGCACTAGAATCGTTTTCAGTATCGGAGTATCGTTACATTTTAAATATTCTTTCTTTAAGAACATACAAGCCCGGAATATTAGGCCATATAATCAGTTCCGTACAGAATTCGAACACGCGATTCCAAACTAAACGCTAGCTACTGCGGAAGATATTAGTGAGGCTTCCGGCGGTGTCACAGCGAGCCAGTTCATGGTTTACAATACATGGTAGTAGGAGTATAATATGAATGACAAAAAAATTGTCATTTATATAATATTAAACTCTAAACAAGACTGGCAGAAGAGTGATAACACGTATCTCCACTCTTTTTTTATAAAAACTGAAGTGACAAACTAAATTGCAGTCTACCTGATGGTAGTCGGCTCTGCAGTAGCTCTTTGAACACTTGCAGCCAACTGCATACAAATAAGGCAGATGATAACAGATGGGTTGTTAACCTGTGTCTAACTGGCTCTCTTAACCCTTCAGACCTTCACAGCTATGCCAGCACTGTTATTTTGAAACAAAATCGGTGCGAGGGTGATACCTACCTAGATTGATCCTAGGCAGAAAAAAAGTCCTACCATCTATTAACTTCCATGAGCTCCGTAAGCCTCACCTCACTATAAGCTCTAACTCCATAAACGACACTAAGTTATATTTGGAATTGGAATTATTTTTTTTGTTTTTCTTTTATAGGAGAGGGCGCAAACGAGCATGCGGCTCACCTGATGGTAAGTGACTATCGCCGCCCATGAACAACTGCAACACCAGCAACGGCAACAACGCTGGGATCTTCCGGCGATAAGCAAACCCGCCCCCAAAGGTAGGATGCAAAAAAAGACCGCATCCCGTTCCAATCGGCCGACCTATAGTGCCAAACACGGCGGCAAGCTGCAGATCGCAACTGCGATGGGAGCGTGAGTGGCACCGTACTCCGGATCAGACAATGGTTCGAAGAGCCCAGAGGGGCATCGACGGAGACCTGATATCCGTCCGGATGAGAGGTCAGCAGAAGGTCCAACAGGGAAGTTACATGATCCTCCACATCTGGGATCCACGTAGACGAAGTAACCAGTTGCGTTAGACCATATGCCAAGGCAAAGTTATAGACAGATCTACCCGCATGATCGGTTAAACGAGAACCAAGCCATTCGGCGTGGTGGGCGTTAAAATCACCGAGTATCACGATCTCCGCGGATGGCACCTGTTGTAGCACGGAGTCTGTAGCCATTTGGATGTGGTCGATAAGTCGGTCTGTGTCGGCATTACCGCTATGGGACCTATAGAGGCACCCGTAGACGCAGGGATGGTTGTCGCTGTCTACGCGCAGCCACAGGATGGACAGGTCCGTACCTTCAAGACTGCCGAGGCGTCGAAAACAGATATCCTCTCTGACGTATACGCAAACTCCAGCCCGGGGCACAAAGGAGTGTTCAAATTTGTACCCCGGGTAAGAGAGATATGAAGTATTAGCCGGAGAGGACACCTGAGTCTCGGTAAAAAGAGCAAGGCCGGTTTCGCCGTCTCTAGATGGTAATGAACAGCGTTAAGGGTGGAATAAACTTATCTTCACGCACAATCCCTGACGGGGTAGCCAGAGAGAACAGATCACCAAGTTTCACGATCCTTTCATACCTCTTTCGCTTCTTTCAGATTCATTATCTTCTTCATACATGCACGACTAGGTATCCGAGTACTCTTGACCCTACCCTCTTCGAGAAATTTGCTCACATGGTCTTCGAAAGTTAGTCTCGGTCTACCTCGACACCTTTTAATATTAACTTTCGCGCTATATATTTTCTTCACCATTCGGTCTTCACTCATTCGCTCAACGTGCCCAAACCACCGAAGCATGCCCTTATCAATTTTTGTGATAAGGTCATCTTTCAAACCTGCCATATTGCGAATCTCTTCGTTTCGCTTTCGGTCGGCCATGGTAACGCCGCACATTTTAGGAAGAGATCGCATCTCCACTGCATTCAACTTGCTTTTATGCTTCTTTTGGCATACCCAGGTTTCGCTGCCATATAACAAAATCGGTACCAACACTGCGTTATGTATTGCAAGGCGTGCACTCTTCACTACGCCTTGTCTTTTGACTACCGCAGTCAGGGCACCATTGACTTTGTTCCCGGCAGCGACACGCCTGTCCACATCTAAAAAGGGATCAGCTCCAGAGGACAGTCGATGAGTTTGACCGATGCAGCAAAGAATATGAGGAATCCCTCAGATTAATTGCTGCATTGAAATTACAATTAACTGAAGCTAATGAGCAAATTTCACAATTTAAACAAAACATTGATAACTTGCATGCACTTAAAACTCAGAGTCTGTTCGAGGAGCTCGTAGAATGTAAATTTCATAAAACATTGCAACCCTCCACAACAATAGATTTGACTGATGATTCTACCACATCAAGAACAGCAGAAAGGATTACAAGCAGCAGAAGGAAATTAAAAAAATATATAAAAATTAATAAATATATTAGGAAAGTGCAAAAATTAGTGAAAACTAAAATTAATATTAAAAATTATACAAATGTATGTAAGGAAAAGCAAGAGTTAATTAGTAAAATTAAATTATATTCAATTGAGGTGGAAAACATGAAAAATTGTTATGAGACTGAAATAGAGTGTCTTAATTCAGAAATTTTATCACTTCAAACCTCATTACAAATTATGTCAAATAAATATAAATCTGCAGGGAATGAGATAAAAGAACACATACTGGCCATGGATAATCTGGTAAAGTCCTGCAAATATAACGAGGAACGTTTTGACTCCTTATTAAAATATCAAAATGAATATCAGCGCTCACTGCCAGGTTCTTTAGGGACAGTGTGTGTTAATAATATGACAAGCAGTAATACTTCATTTTCTTTACCTACACTCTATGATAGTACCATAACAAAGCAGATAAATTTAAAAAGTAATTCATATAATGAAAAAAATAATATAATTGTGTATAGTGATGACATAGGCAAAAACTTGGGTATATCATTGAATAACTGTTTAAAAAGGCAACAGATAAGTAATTACTGCATGCCTGGAGCATCATTCAGTGATATTATGAATAAAATTTTAACTAGTAAATTTAACCCTAATAGTATATTAATAATTTTTGTTGGGAGAAGAGGCAATATGAACAAGAATCAATTATTAAAATATATTGAATATCTCAATAACATAAATGTGGTTAAAGTTATCTTGTTTACATTGCCTTATATAGAGGGGTGGCCACAGGAAAATAAACTAAGACATAATTTAAATTTAATGATGCATAACTTGACATGTAACAATAACTTAAATTTGACATTTAATTGTAAGAATAATAATGATAAATTTCATTTAATTGATGTTAATAATTTAACTAAGAAGTTTTTGACAAGAGATAGGTATTACCTATCAAAGTATAGTTTAAGACTGGTAGCAGATACGCTATCTTATTATTTATATTTTAACTCAGCCAATGATTTGGCTACCTTGACACCTGCTTCTTTTGAGCAACAAAATAATTTTACATTTGATTTGGAACCAGTTCCAAGTAATTTAAATTAGATAATAAGACAATAGAGGTAATCTCTAGCAAATAATTTAAAT